GGCACAGTGGGAGATACAGCCAAGAATAGCCGTGTATGCTGGTGGCTCCCAGGGCCCTTCTATGTGAGGATGGTTGTTAAAAGTGTGAATTTCCACTCTCCATATTTTGGGAGGTCTGGAGTGGGCTCAGAAACCTGTGTGACTTTAAATGCCCTTGTGCTTCAAACCCACACTATCAATGCAGGGAATTCTTTTTTAGCTAAATTGTGCATGCTGCTGTGTGTGCATGCTCAGTCATGTCCGACTTTGCAACCCTATGGACTGTAGCCCACTAGGCTTCTCTGTCCATGGGATTCTCCAGGCAAGAACCCTGGAATGGGTTGCCATTTCCCGTTCCAAGGGAATCTTTCCCCACCCACGGATTTAACCTATGTCTCCTGAGTCTCTTATATTGGCAGGTGGATTATTTACCACTGAACCACCTAGGAAACCCACTAGCTAAATTAGAGCATTGTAATTTTATCCTGAGGTCAGGGGCTTTGAAACTTGGATCCATGGTTCCTGTGAGCATTTGTACAGACATTCACTATTGAATACACTATATGTTTGTGTGTTATACATTTGTAATTTTTCTAGGGAAAAGAATCCATCACATTTCCAAGGAAGGACTTTCTCCTCATTCCTTCAGATGCAGACTTTAACATTCAAGTCTGCATGTTGATGGTGCAAGGAGAGCCCAGAATCTGTCAGGTGGAGGAAAGAGATGGGTCTGGAGATCCAGGGCTGGGAAAGTTCATTTGCTCAGGAACTAGTGACACAGACCCCATAGTGCACCCTTTGGAAAACGCTGAAAGGACGAGGTACTTGGGCTGAGCTGAAAGAATAAGAAAGTGAGGAGGCAGCTGCAGGGTTGCTTGCGGGCCTGCCACTAATCTTCCCCAGAGAACAGGAGGCCGGAACTGGAGGAGGCAGGGAGAAGTGACAGGTCTTTGAATTTCTCTGCCTGCGTGGGCAAAGGAGCCTCCATGGGGATCCATGATCCAGACTGTTAATCGCTGTCAGGCCTCCAGGAACCAGAGGGGGCCTTACTCAGTGCCCTGCAGAGCTAATTAAGAATCACAATTAATTACTTTGTTTTATTCACCACAGAGGCTCAACGCTGATTATCTTCCGGAGTTAGATCAGCACCTCCCTCCTCGCCCCGCTCGTGGGTCTGTCAAAGCAGATATCCAGACTGGACTTGGACTCAGCCTCAGAGGGTTCCTTCTCCTCGGGTTCTCTTTTCAAAGTGCAGTGGTTAACACTTGGAAGTTTCTATACATCTGGCTCTCATTCATTTATCCAAGCAGCATTGTGACTCCTACCATGTACTCAGACAAACGTGATGCAGAGCACCAGTGCTGCTTCCTGATTTTACCCTTTGTACTGTTTGGGAGCTGTTTCTTCTCAACTAGATTTTGAGTTTCTTGCAATGGGAAGCTTGTCTAATTTATTGTGTTGCTTCCACACTGGGTACACAGTGGTGCTCACTAAATGGGGAATGACTGGCTGAGGGACAGGTGTGCGTCCGGTGTCTGGGTCCTCCTCTGCACACCCCTAGCTGTTTCTCTGTCCACCTGGGCCTCCCTTTGTGGCCTCAGGAGTGTCTGCCTCCATGCCTGTGAGCTTCTGTGTGTTCCAGCTCTGTGTAAGTCCACCTGCTGGTACTCCATGTCTGCATCTTATCTCCACCTGAAGTCCCTCTTCTGTTGTTCTGCTAGTTGCTGTCCTCCACTGGAAACCAGGGGTCTGGAGGCTTCTAAACAGACCCTCCCAGGAGGGAAATGTCAGACCTGCCTTTCACTTGCCACCATCACCTGCCACGATTGCTGGCATATGTGTCATTACTGGCTCATACCCCAGGAGGCACTCTGTGACCTTACTGTGATGATGAGCCAGGAGGTGGCAGCCATGCTGGGGATAGGGCTCTGCCTGTGGTCTCTGACAGGCAGGAGAGCCAGAAGCCTGGTGTGAGGACTGCCATTGTGGTCTCAAGTCTTCCCTAGCTTTATAAATCGGGGAGGTGAAAGGGTTAAACAGGAGTGCCTAAGGGCACAGGGGTCTGGGAACTTGTCTGCTCAAAATGTGAGCCTGCTAATGAGGCTGCTTTCTAGGAAGGCCAGCAGACAAGGGGCTGTCTACACTAAAGTAGATTGCTAAAAAGGATGGGCTTGGCTGCGAGGAACAGGGGCTGAACGAAGTTAATGAGCGGGGGACCCAGAGACAGGGCCTAATGGCTCTGGTGGCATTTCAAGTCAGAGCTCACTGGAGCCGTGACCAGGAGCCCCGGTAATGAGGGGCTGCAGGGTCAGCGCAGGACCGCAGAGGGGCCTCTCCAAACTGCCGAGGGAGCTGAGTCAAACGGTCCCTCTGGCTGACCTTGCTGCACAAGTGTTAGCGACTTCGGGGGTGCTCTAGGGCAGGCCCTCCAGGGAGCAAGCTGGCGGGATAATGAGCGGCTGGGACATGGCACTGTGCCTCTGCAGCTGCCCGAGTTCTCTGCGCTGCTCTTACGAACACTCAGCTCCTCCAGCAGCAGGGCTCTCCAAGTGGCCTCTTGGGCCTGAGGTATTTGCTGCTCCTTGCTCTGCAAGGGCCCATGATGGAAGCACCCACTGTGTCACCTCTGAGGGCGCAGGGAGACTTTCTAAGACCTGCAAGACTTTCCAAGACCTCCCTCTGCACCTGGGAGTCAGGGCCCCCCACCTCTCTCTACTGCACACGTGTGAAGCAGAGCGTCCCCCTCCTACCTCTCATTCGAGCACCTCCCGGGGCTTAACCCCACCCCTCCCAGCCCCAGCGCCAGAGGAAGTCCAGGTGCTCTGGGTGAACCACCCAAAGAGCATATTCTTCACACAGCAAAGCCCTTGACAAGTTTGAGGTTGTTCATTTCGTTTTTCGCAGCCTCATTTAGAGGACTTAATCATGTGGCCAGCTGACAGATCACCTTTGATGATAAATGACTGTGCAATTTTTGGCACACATGTCAAAAAGAGTTCGGAGAATTGGGTGACATCTATTATACTTATTTGTATGAAAGGCTTCTCAGCATCTAGAGCTATAGAAATGGAAGAAAATAAAAGAGGCTGGATCCTGATGCATCCACAGATTCACAAATAATTTCTTATTTGTTTCACTAAGATGTGTTTTCAATATTTTCCTTTCTAGGTTCAGCAATTACTTACAAAAAATTTTAGACATCTATATTGTTTTAATCACTTGTACATTATATTTTATGTTAAAAATCAGTTGTAATAACTCAATCCAGAAGACTTTTTTTAAAAAAAAAACCCTTAGAATGTTTTGTCATAGGAAGTTATTTCAATTCTAATTTCTAAATATTTATTTGTGGCAGAGAAGTATGATAAGGTGAGAAATAAACTTTCAACCATAAAAAATGCTGCATTACTAAGAAATTCTGTAGGGGGAATGGGATGAAAGTACAAGTTTCAAGAGAAAAGGAACATCCTAAAATTTCCAGTTGTTAAGGAAGAGCAGGTTGCATTTTTTTTTTTTTAATAGATGAGAGTATTAAATCACCACTGTTTGGATTTCAGATGATGTATTGTAAAGTATTGTGGTAGTTCTATTTTAAAATGTAAATATTTACCAAATGCCAAAAATCACATTCTTCACAAGTTTTAAAATTCATGTGAAAAATATTAGATGCCAACTTAAAAATGTGCAAGATGAGATACATAATTTTAAAAATATGGGGGGAGGGGCGGTGTACCAAGAGCAAAAGCTCTTTCAAACCCCAGCCTGATGGCTCTTCCTGCCCTTTGACTCCCACCCTCTCCTGGAGGGAAGGGCAGATGGAGGCCAAGATGGAGCCAGCCGTGGTTATTACCCATGGAGACGGCAGGGGCCAGCTCTATACCTCCCTCAAGACTCCAGAACAGGAAACAAGAACAGACTGCAGCCTGCTGGGATGATCCTCTCCTTCATGCTGAATTAAACTGCCTTCACGTTAGCAGGAAGGGCAGACACTGGCCTGGGTGAACACAAGGGACAGACCCGCAGGCATTGGTGGAGAGGGGCCCCAGGCCAGGGCAAGAGTCTCTGCAAACGAGGGTGGACCCGGCCCACCACCCTTGGCCCACAGCACCCCTTCCCCTGAGGGGAGGCTGCGTTTCCACAACAGCATGGTTTATTTTTCAGATAGCACAGATGTTTCTGAAGGGGAGACTGAAGCCCAGCCTCAGGTGGGGGCTGAGGGATTAGTTCCAGTCACCAGAGTCGAACTTTGGTTTCTGCTCTTTCTACCCTACTCCTTCTCCCAACTCACCCCCCAGACTTCTCCTCCTGTTTCGTCCTGTACTACGTATCTGGTTGGTCTAAGAGTCTGTGCCATCCTGGCAGCATCTTCCTCCTCGCCTGCCCCTCCCCCAGGCTCTGAATCTGTGGACCAGGATGAGAAGAGGCCCCTCAGGAAAGGAGGCAGCATATCCTTCTAAGAGCCCGAGGGGCAGGAGGATAGGGTCAAGGGTGGGGGGTAGGTGAGGCTTCCCTAGGTTGAGAGTCCCTGGGATGAAGCCCTCGGAATTCATCTCTTCAGCTGCTGTGCCTCCCTCCAACTGCAGGGGGCGCCACTGAACACAGAGGCAGAAGGCTTGGAGGGGCCAGCCATCACCCTGCTGCTGGTGGGAAGACCCTTAGCTGTGAGTGGGGGCAGAGGAGCCCCTGGTCTGTCATGAAAGCCCTTCCTGGCTCTGGGCCTCAGTTCTTCGTCTTATAACAGGGTGACAGTAAGGATCCAGCCAGAGGCTGGTGTGGGCAATGCCTGAAGATCTGTGATCTGCTTGTCTCTGGGGGTTCCTGTGACTTCTCAGCTCAGCTCCCTCTCGCACTGAGACTTGGTGCCCTGCCGGCCCTGGTTCCTGAGACCCCCCCTTGTGCTTCCCTTCTCTCTGCCCCCACCAGGGCCTGCATGGCTGGAAGAACCCAGAGAAAGGTGCTGGAGGAAAATGGGGATGCTGTTCTGGTGGTCAAGTGATGGGAGAGATGGGGGCACTCAGAGGTCATACAGCAGCCGTCTGCTTGATGCTGTGGAAGCTGATCCGCGTGGGCGATGTGGGGATGGACATGGCCCGGGCCACGGGGACTCGGAGGGAGTGATGGTCCTGCCAGCGGTGCCACCTCTTCCTCACAGCTGAGCGTACCTACAGGGGAGGGGGAGGACGATCCTGAGGTCCAAGCCAGTCCTCTCCCCTGCCCCCTGCCTCTTGCTGGGCCGTCACGGGAGGCTGAGGTGACCCACCTGACTGCCACCCTCACACCCAGGGACAGGCTGGTTCCAAAAGCAGGGCCCTTTGCATGCCCTCTGCAGTCCTGATCTTCTCTATGCCCCTGCAAGACATGCCCTGCTTACCCCAGCATGCGGCGGAGATGGAGCACTACTCATTTTAAGACCTGACTGTCACTGGTGCCACTATTCTCACCTGCATTGCAATGAAAGAATTTTCTGCAAAATGGATCATGTCCCCCACATGCTGGCCTGCCACATGGCTAAACAGAATAAATGCTCCACAAGCATTCACTGTTTGCTTGCTTTAGTGGCTCCTTCTCTCTCTGCCCTCTAGCAGCCCATGCTGGTCTCCACTGTGGACTCTCCTACCTGGGGTCTGCTTTAACTGACAGAGACCCCAGCATGCAGACTCCACTATCAACCTGTGCACAGGCAGGTAAAGGGGCCTCAGGTTGTCACTGGCATTCCTCTGGGGTGTGTGGAAACTCTCGAGCCCTGGGAGGGTATCTGCTTTCTGCCCCAGCGCCCACTATGGGTCCTCACCCACCAGAGGCCTGAGTGAGCCTCTCCCCTGCAAGTCTGCTCTGCTAGGGTTCCGGGCTTTGTAAAGTTCACCAGGTTTCACTGGAGCCTGGCTCCCTGAAACCACCTGGAGGCCTGTTGTCCCTGAAACAGTAGGGAGATGGGAAAGGATGCACTGGTGTCTTTCTGCTCCCTGGTCCATAAAAGCCTGGATGCACAGCTCACACCTCACTCCTGGAAAGTGCTCTCCTGTCATCACCCACGTGCTGGCTTCCCTCTCCCATGAGCCTCTGTGGCCTGGGCTCCTGCCCACCCAGCTTTTCGGGTGCATTGTGGAGAGCTGGTGTATTGTTTCCGCCTGCAGAGTTGACCTTCTAAACTGGTTGGAGTCCCTGAGCCAGGTTCCTGTCTCCCCAAAGTTGAGTGGTTTCTTTGGCCCTCCCTTTTCCAGAGTCAGGGACTCCCCTCAAATTGCCCTGTAGGGAGGTCTGAGGACCTCAAAGCCCAGGCCTCCCTGGGACAGGCGTCGTACCTCTCCATTGAAGAAGCAGTAGAAGACAGACACAAAGAAACCCTGGGAAGGAAGAGGGAGAGGTCAGTGACCTGCTGGGGGAGCCGCTCTGCCTGGGGGGTGGGGGTTGGAGCAGGGATGGGATGGCTGGGGGAACACTCTGACTCGGCACCCCAGAGGTTCAGAACTGGGTGGGCACCCCCATCATGGAGCAGGTTTACCAGGGTTCACTGTGAGCCACAGGGTGCCATAAGTCCTTGGAGCAGGGGCTGGGGCCTGCAGTAGGCGCAGGCAAGGGTGACCCTGATCCAGTCGGGGGTGGGCCCACCTGACCCTGGGTGTGCACACACTTGTACTTCAGTGTGTATGAAGTGAACCCCGCAGGCGCCAGCCCCATTGAAGTGCTCTGTGAGGGCAGGCGTGCCTGAGCAATCCAGGGCAGCGAAGCTCACTGCAGCCCCATCCCGCCATGCGACCCACCTGGAACGACTGTAGGAAGGAGTTGAAATAGATGAACACAATCTGCGACAGCTCGTCCTCCCCAGGGTTGACGAAGAAGAGCATGTAGGTGATGCCCAGAAGGGGCAGGAGAACCAGGGTGGCCTTCACCGCCTTCCTGGGGGTGCGGAAAAGGTAACGAGACCCATCTGAGCCCACACTGCAGGTGGGTCCTCACTGGCTGGTGCTTCTTCTGGGAGCCTGAGGGAGGCCCCCAGGTGAAACTCAGAGGGTCCTGCCCAGAGGCCGGGGGATGGCCCAGATGGCCTCCTCATTCCTTTCCTGCTGAGGGTCGAGGCACCCATCACTTACCTGTACTGGATCGTCTCTGATGTGGTGGATGCTCGTAACTTTGTCATTAGAATCCTGACAATGTTGAAGAGAAATACAAAGTTGATCTGGAGGGAGAAGGGCAGGGAGGGAAAAAGAAAGAGCCGGGAGGTGGGGACGAGCTGAGAGACAGCCTTCTCCCCTGCAGTCCCCTGAAAATCCATGTCCCATGCACACTCCCGTTCCACCTGTTACCCCAGCACCTACGTGGGGTCCCAAGGCCTCTGCTCCTCCCTCCTAAGGGCAGGTAGATACCCCATTTGCTCAGTCCCCTCACCTGAGGGTTCCAAAGCCTGCTTCTCCACCCGCAGGCCCAAGGGAGGGAACACAGACTTGGAGGGAGTGTTCACTCCTTCCTAAGGCACGACTCCTCAGAGTCCCCAAATCCGTGCCCTCCCCAGGGATGCCAAAGGAACTGACAGCCCTGGTTGGCCCTCCTCCCACACTGCCCTGCTGCAGGGCCCCCATGTGTCAACTGAGGGGCTCCTGGAGGCCCCCTGGACAGAGGATGGCCCTGCCCTGGTGGCATGGACCCAGCCAGATGGAGCAATAAATGACTTAGTTGCTGGGAGGAGTGATTAATCTCTCACCATTCATTTTTAGAGGAAAACTCTAAAATATTCACAGACACCTCTGAGGCCCTGGGCTGAGACTCCGAGGCTCCTGGAAGGGCCTCATTTATCTTGAGTCTGAGCCTTCTCTCAGCATCGGAGCCTGCCACACCCAGCCTCTCCCCAGGACCTGCCTGTGTGGCCTCTGGAGGCAGCTTCAGGCTGTGTGGTCTCTGTAGGCGTGCAAGTGTTGGCCTGTCTGTGTGCCTGTGTGCTGCCTTCTCAATGTTCCATGTGGGTCTGTGCTCTGTGCTGGGACGTTTGCCTGGGAGCGTGCTCATATGTGAGTGTGTATCTGGGGACGCGGACATGCCTGTGTCTCTCTTCATCCATCTCCAAGTACAAGGAGACAAGAAAGTGAGCACTGTAGGCCTGACACCCTAGGAGTCTCTCCCAGGAAAGAGGAAGATACATATTAGCCCGGGGTGTCTGCTGGGTCATGCGTCTACACACGTCTGAGTATGTGTGCACACACACACACACCCCCCCCTCCTGTCCCGGGCCTGAGACTCTGTCATTTCTGAAGTCTTCTAAGTTCTGGACCCCAGACAGGGAGTTTGGGGACATAGACATCCCTGTGGCCTCTGGATCACCCCTAAGCTTGAGGATGCTCCAGAGACCTGGGGTGGGGGTGGGGGGGTCCCTCCTCAGTCACAGGCCTGCTGCTCTTGAACCATAGTGGTAAAGCCTGGTGAACCCAGGGTGAGGGGTGGTGGAAGCGTTCAGCCAGGGTTGCCATGGCCTAATGTACCTTGCTTCCTCTTAAGGCTCATCTAATCTCTAGATCCTGGGTTTCTGGTATATTCTCCTGGATCATGAGGTCATTTGGACACATAGGTAGATCCTAATTTTCTCATACAAGTGATATAAAACACTTGACCTTTTCTGATTCTTCCTAACTTCTCTGAGAATAGAGGTTATTGGAATCAAAATATATTCTTATTTCTACCATATTTCCCTGCATTTTAAACCATATTCAATAATCATCCATAAATCATCTAACCAATTCAATTATCCACTTGCTTTTATCCATCATTCCTTTAATCCATCCATCCAAATATTACTCGACCATCCTTTTATTAACTTCTCTAGCCACCTACCCACTTATTTAATGTGTGACATTCATCTACCCATCCATCCAACCATCCATCCATCCCTCTAAATATCTATTCAACATTCTACTCATCAATTTATCTACCCTCTCACTCACTTAACAGATAACATACACAGATTCACTAACCACCTACCCACCCACCCACCCACCCACCCAATATAAGCAGTTGCTGAGCACCTTTGAGTTACGGGGCCCCTTCTGTGAGGCAAGAGTAGGACAGGGGCTGGTGTGGAGGATCTGGGAGACAAGGCCTTATCCCCTCTCCTCACACCAGGCAGGAGTTGGTGACACTGTCCCCACCCCATCTCAGCCTGGTCTGTGCAGCCCCAAAGTCACTCTTTCCTTTTGAGCTTGGCTCCCAGCCTCCCCATTTACAACATCTCCTCCACTTCATTTAACTGCAGGCACCTTCCTCCTTTCCCTAGGGAGGCGCTGACACCACCCTCCCCACAACTTCCCAAACCTTCCCTGTCTGCGCATGTGCAGAGGCAGGCGGCGAGGGAGAAGGCCTGGCATCTCCTCCTTCTTGGCTTCAGACGTGATTCCTCCTGTCCTTTAAACCCAGGCCAGGAGGGGAAGCCCCAGCCCTTGAGGGTGTCCTCTGCATCCCTTCAGTTCTGGGTATTGGGGTGCTGCCATCACATCTCTGCTCCCTCTTCCCACCTCTCCCAGCCTCAGCTTCTTATCATGCACATTCACTGGCTCAAGCAACATAGCCAGCCTGCTAGTCTTGCCTGGATCTATAGTGTCTCAGAGGCCCAGGTCCTGAGTCCAACTATAGACAGGGCCCTATCTGGGCCATGGAGAAAGCCCAGATGACTCCATCCCTGACCACAAGGCTGCTGGACACACCACGGTTCTTCAACTAGAGCGTGCACATCAAAGGTGCTTATTCCAAATACAGATCCTAGACACACCTCAGAGATTCCCAGTGGCAGATGAGGGCCCTGGAATCTGCATTTGGAACAGGGAAGCTGAGATGCTGCTGAGGAAGACACCATCCATGAAACAAAGAGCCGAGTCTTTCACCAGACAGACCTCACGTGCCATCCACCATTCGCCTATAGCTGCAGGGGGCAGTTCCCAGGTTGGGGCCTTCTCTGGTGCCAGGGGAGCCAGCTTGGCCAGAAAACAGAAAGGGGCCTGGAAACGTGGGGATTCCAGGTCCCCAGGGCATCCGCCACTGATGGGACATGAAATGTGTGGGTAAGTAACCTGGCTTCCCAACCGAGGGTCAGTTCTGAGACTCTTCCACTTGTTGCCTCGAGGAAGCCTGCTCATCGGTTCACCTTCGTTGGCTTCCTTCCTTGTCTTCTACTTTCACTATCATTCTGCTTCCGGGGACCACCTCCCACATGAACACACATGGCTCTAACTTCAGCTATTCCAACTAGCATCTGCGCGGCCTTGGGCAAACTGCTTAGATAACCTTTCTGAGCTTCTGCTTCCTTGCCGGTCTAGCAGGGATTGCCACGGAGCCTGTCTGGGAAGGTCGGCTCAGGTTCAAACACTCCTGGAGAGCATTGAGCTTGTGCTCTTCCCACGCTGATGACAGCGACAACAGCCTCCTGCAAACCCAACCAAGCGAACTCACTTCCCAGAACCCAGAAACGAGTATGGGTCTCTCAGACAGTTGTGAGCAGGGGTGGCAGGATCACCGAGCTCGCATCCAATGGAAAGGACAACAAGAGGTGGTGGGTGATCTGCCCCTTAGGTCTCAGCTAGCTATTAGTGGTAACCTTGTATAGTCACTTCATCTCTCAGGTTCTTCATCTGTGAAACAGGAGCATTATTCATATCTCCAGGCTTCAAGGGTGTGAGGACTGGAAATGAAGATACAGCTTCTAGAGGGTTGAACTTAGAACTTGGAAGCCCTGTCCATGTACATAGCAGTGTGTGGGCTGGGTCCACAGGGAAAGACAAGGCCCTTGGTGAGGGTGGAACCGAAGAAGGGAGCATGGACAGGAGGCGGGAATTGGGTCTTGGCATCAGGCCTTCCTGGCCTCTCTGGTGGCTTAGAAGGTAAAGAATCTGCCTGCTAATGCAGGAGACCGGGGTTCATTCCCTGGGTCAGGAAGATTCCCCTGCAGAAGGTGTAACAACCCACCCCAGTATTCTTGCCTGGAGAATTCCACGGGCAGAGGAGCCTGGCAGGCTACAGTCCACGGGGTGGCAAAGAGTCTGACACGACTGAATGACTAACACACACACACACACTGGGCCTTCCAAGACTGTCCCCCTTCTCTGTGCATTTCCTCACTGCTCTCCAACATCTTTGTAGAGGGGGCTCGCACCCCACCCAGGTCAGCCTTCCTTGGCTGGTTCTCAGGCTCATCAGAAGCCTTCTCCCTCCAGAATGGGCTCTCAGCTGCTGGTGGGGAAGGGATGGGTCTCAGGGGGTTTCCATTCACACAGTGGAGCAGGTGGGGATCAGTGACTCATTGCAGCTGGGGATCCAAGGACAATGATCCCCCCAACTGACTGCTGACAACGACTGGCTTCCATCTCTGAAATGAATGGAGCCCTGATGGTAGAGTTTCAGGCAGTGGGTAAAAAACCTTCTTAGTCATATTTATCAAGGACACTCCAAAGAAGGGGTCAAATGAATCCTGGAGGAAGTGACAAAAGGGTGGAGAGTAAGGAGATAAAAAGAGATAAACAGTCATTGTCTCTAAGGTAGACCATTAGGCACCTGCTGTGTGCAAGAGGGGGATGACCATTCCCTCTCAAGCTTCCCACAGGAAGCGAGTGGCCCTTTAAAGAAGCTGGTACATACAGGAGCCTGAAATTACCAAGCCTGAAATAAGTCTTACGTAAATGCCAATTTCTTATGGGGCTTTTTGTACGTTTCTTTTTTTTTTTAATGTATGATATATAATGGGTTCATTTTTTTGCAGAATGCAGCCTCTACTTAAACTCTACCTTAATTAAAGCTCGCTGTGGTTTAGAGACATGGCTGCAATTATATCTTAGATGTGAATACTTTTGGCAAAGGGTGGGGAGCTGGGTAAGGAACAATTGCTCATTATGCTTTGCTTCATTTGGTCCCACTGCTCCAGGCTGGGGGCGGTGGGCTGAACCTTGGAGGAGGTCTCTGTGGGTGGAGGGAGAGGTAGGTCTGGGCTGAACCAAATCCTGTAGACCCTTCTCTTGCCACCAGTTGCCCCCTCTCCCCCCGCCTGGCTGTCTCAACACTGAACCTGGCAAGGGGATGTCAGATGTCAGAGAGACTAGAAATCTGCCAGTCAGACCCACTCTCTGCCCAGAGAAAGAACCCAAGGGCCAGAGAGGGGAACGGGGCTGCAGCAGGGTGTAGAGTGTTGGGAAACAGAGAACAGAGAGCCAAGCAGTGTGGTACTGTGTACAGAGTTGGGGGCGGCAGGGGGGCTGCTGCTCCAGGCCACATCCTTCCCCAGCACCTCTGTGGTGGGTCCTCCGCAGTCCTCCGGGTGCCCAGCCCCATCCCAGTTCCCACTGAGGACCTACCAGGAGCACGAGGATGATGGGGCCCTGGTAGATGTAGTCCACCAGGTCACCAGGCTCCTTGCCAAACCAGCACCTGCAGAGATGGGGTGGCTGTAAGTGGCCTGCTGAACCAGAGCCTGGGACCATTGCAGCCTTGAAGCCAGGGTCCTCTGCCTTGATCCTTTCTGAGACCGCATCTCCATGGCTGCTCCTCCCCCTAAAGCCTGGATGGACCGCCCCAGACCCACTGACCGCCTTGGGTCACTCCTGAGCTGCCTTTTGCCCTACATGGAGGGTCTGGCCTCAGGTAGACTGAGGGAGGGTCTGGTCTCCTCCTCGCTCCCCCACCCCCATCCCAGTCTGCTGGGCCCAGGCCCGGACCCACAAGAGGCTCATGAATGGAGAGCTGGCCCCCCTCGCTGGCCCGAAGCCCAACCACCTGCACGACCTGTTCCCGCATTGCTGGGAACACGCCTCTCCTGTGCCAGGCACTTAGCCACACAAAGCCGCACGTGCGGAGGCGGGAGCCTTCTCCTGGTGCATCCCCGGCCTCATTCACTCAGGGGAGGAAGCCTGCTTCTACGCTGGTTGGCTATCCCCTGGGGATTCCAGGAGTGGAGAAGCTTCAGGGCCTGGGGTCAGGGTTAGCCCAGGACCCAGTTTGGCTCTGTCAGCAACTCTTATTGGACCTCAGAAAGGGCCCCACAGACTTCAGGAAGTTCTATGTCTTCCACAGCCTTGGAGGCCATCCAGTGCACACTGCCTAGGTGTGTGCCCTCACTGCTGCCCCCCTAGCACAGGGATTTTTTTCCTTTGCTTAAATGCCCCCATGATGGAAAGCTCACTACCTCTTAAGGCAGCCCTCTCACTCTAGGGCAGCCTTTATTGCTAGGAGCCTGGAACCTACCCCATCACTGCCCCCACCCCTAAACCTCATCTGGTGTCTCTAGCCTGGGAGACGATGAGAAGATCTGAGCATCGAGACTGATGCTCCTTGCCCTCTCTTCTCTCAGCGGGTGGCTCCCGACTTACCCGCTGTTCCTTGGCTGCCCTGTTGCCGCCACCTGTGCTGAGGCTATTTCAAAGTCTCTGGTGCAGAGGGTCCCAGCATGGAACACTGTACCCGAGGCAGAGACTGGGGTGCAAAGTAAAACAAGCGTCCACTGGCATGACCCAGGGCATCTGTGAGTGGCTCAATGCCACAATCCTGGATGTGCTCTGGCCTGAAACCTGGGAGTCCTTGGCCTCCTCCATATGGCCCAGGCCAGGCTCGCCACACCCAACTCCAGGAGGAGGCCTTACCAAAGGTCAAGAGGGTCATGAATTGGATACCTAAAGGAACCATGATTCCTAACTCAATTCCACTAAGTTGACTTGACACCTATCACATGAGTACCTCTGGGTTCCAGGGAAAGTTTTTCAATTTTAAAACAACGGAAAAGTGAATCTGTCCTGGCTTGGCTGCAGGTCCAACCCCGTGGTCTGGCCAGAGCCCACGGCTGGCCAGTCCTACTTACTGTTCATTCTCGTAGTAGAGTTTGCCAATGGCCCAGGCAATGACGATGGGGCAGGGGACGCCTGAAAGAAGGACAGACAAAGCTGCAGTGGACAGAGAGATGGTCAGGAGACCCTCTTGTAGAACACAGAGTAGGGGGCCCACAAAGGGCTAGGACATTGTTTCCAATCATTCAACTGCAGGCCATCTAGGACCTTGGGGGGCCCTGTTCCTAGACCCCTGCCACACCCCTCCCCCACTCTCAGCTATCCCCTCCAACCAGGTCAGAGAGATGAGGGGATAGTGTGATTTTCTGAGACTTTTTGATAGAGAAGTGGAGCTGGCCAGCTTCTCTTTTGAGGTGAGAGACAAAGGTCTTTGGATCAGACATTCCAAGCAAGAAGAGGAGGACCATTTGTGGACTGTCCTCTTGGAGGGACTATTTGCTTCTCCCTCGTCCACTTGGAGGAGAGTGGCTGCCTCCTCAGACTATCCTGGGGACGGTAGACGGCAACATGGTCCCGTCCTTGGACCCAAGATGAAAGGAGGTGACCCAGTCAGCAGAATCCTCTCCCCACTAGACCCTGCAGGCCCCCCGGGACCCTCACACCATCCAATGAAGAGGAAGAGCCATTTGCGCAGGCGCTCTGTGGAATAGGTCATGACAATGGCCGTGTGCAGGTAGCAGCCCTCTACGAACATCCAGAAGAAGTTTGTCACCACGAAGTAGTTGAAGATGGTGGTGATGCAGCGGCACCAGACCTGCACGGGGCAGGCAGCAGTCAGCAGCTGCCTGGAGCCAAGGCCCAATGCGCAGCTCAGGTGCTGACAGAGCGGAGTCATCTGCGTTAGGTCATGGACACAAAGACTCTTGAATCTCATTCTGGGAAGCTTCATTTTTCATCATTTCTCTTTCAGTTTTTCAGATTAAGGGGCCAGGCTCCCCTGACACCAGGGTGTCTGACTTCTCCCTGGTGATTTCTAATCTCCTTTTTCATAAAAGAAAGTGGGAGTCTGGCTCTGAGCTTTCTGCAGGGAGAGGCTAGAACTGAACCGTACTGCTCTGAATCACTGTCATTTTCTCCAGCATGTGTGTTGGGCTCAGTAGCCCAGTAATGTACGACTCAGTTCACAGCAAATCAGCCTGGTTTCCATTTAGGGACAGACTATGAAATTTCATGCAGAAAAAAAAATTAGTGAGTCAATTTAAAGACTGCTATTGAAACAGTACAGGGTCTGTGAAGGTAACCACAGCTCTGGAGGTGATCCTCCCAGATTCCTAAGTTTAGGAAATTCTGGGCTTAACGTGATCGCTGTTGTCTCTGGAGCTGGGGCCTTACTAACACTGGGGCCTCTGGCAAGTGGCCATACCTCTCTGAACCTCAGTGTGTTGTAGAGAAAAAGATAATGCCATCCTACAGGCTGGCTCCAGGAGATGGAGGTGGCAAAGGCAGGCACCACAAAATGAATGCCATTGCCAAGTGCCTTCTCAGTTAAGGGGAATTTGTCCTTGTCCCTCTGAGCAGGGTTACTACCACTCCCTCAGAGGACAAGCCTGCCCAGAGCCAACGTGGGCCACGGCCAGGTCCGGCTTCAGGCCAGACCTCTTCTCAATGGACCCTCCCTGGCCATCTTTCCTAGGGATTTGTCCCCAGGGCACCCTCAGAGCTGAGGACATGGGCAATGGCGGTCAGAGGAGCCCTGCCACGGGAATGGACTGTGGACGGCTCAGCCCCTCTCTGTCAGGCTCTAACAGCTCTAATAGCTCTAACAGCATCAGCTGAGCTGACCTCAGCCTCTGTGGCTTCCCCCCATGATCCCAGCCCTGATCTTGGGCTCCATGTGTCTGTCTGTCTCTATTCTGAGAAAGTCCTGCTGAGGAGGGACTCCTAAGATCTGCTCCTCCAAACCCTGCTTCACCGCCCCCCAGGTTAACAATGCCTTGTCACCACAAGCCAACAGTGGGCTGCATGACACCCCAAACGACTGAATTCTGTTGATGCTGAGGCAAGGCTCGATGAGGGGCCAAGTCAAAAGGCAAACCAGGCTGGGTGTGTGCTCAGGACTAGCCATCCAAAGACAACGTATTGAGCAGTCTCTAATAGTGGACAAAAGAGCTCTGTGCACGACTCCATTCTAGGCTCTGGTTTCACAACCTGGACGCAGTACAACAGCAGTTGACACAAATCCAGAGCGGGCAGCTAACGTGCTGTTCTGCTCAATGTCCTGATGGCCCAGCTGCAGAGGCATCATAACAATATCATCTAACCTCTCTGAGCCTCGGTTTCCATGTCTGGAAAATTCCATGTAGGAAAATTCCTACAACTCTTTAATTGGAATCAAGTGAGCTAAAGCTCAATAGAGGTTAATTTCAGCCCCCTTTCCTCTAAGGGATCTTCGGGAGGTACTAAATGCACAAGACAGGGAGTGTAAGAGGATAAACCAAAGTCTGGGGTCTGGTCTGAGCTGCTCTCAAGACCCCACCTGGAGCCCCATTCCCCCACCCCCAGCTCTGGAGGGACAACGATGGGATAGAGGTGAGCTCAGGCTCAGGTCTGCATGTGAAGATGGGGTGAGAGAGGTGGGAGCCCCCAGAGCCCCCCAGGCCCAGCCCCAAACCTCCACCCACAACCTCGTTGCTCTCATGCACTTCGTGGTCGATGAGCTGTAGCAGGAACCACATGACATTCCGCAGGATAAAGGTGGTGATGAGATTCCAGTGAATCACATTCCGGAGACAGCGAATGCTCCTGTGTGAGACCCAGGATAGCTGTCAGCCGGGACAGGCTGCACCTGGGCTCAGAGCTCAGTTGGGGCAGGGGACAGGGGTCAGCTGGGCCTGTGCCCCTCCCTCTGACCCGAGGTGAGGGAGAGACTTAGCCTGGGATGAAGGCAAGACAGTCTTCCAGGGCCAGCACCCCTTTTGCATTCTGCATGCCTGCTAGTGGTCAGTGCTCTGGTACCTCCCCAAGCCCCTTTTGTCCACTGGCCCCAGGGTCGCCAGAGTGGACGTGAGAATGTCTGGGATGGGTAAAGGAGATGCCATCGGGGGGAAGGCGGAGAAAAAGCAGGGGTGGGGTGGACTCACCGCAGGGCCAGGAAAAGCAGGAAGGCACCTACGAGGGCTGCCACGGACACACAGTGGCCCAGGTAGTTGACGATGAGTGCAATGCGGTAGTGCAGGTCATACTTCCTCTGCTGGACAGACAGACAGACACACAGGCAGCTGGAGGCCTGGGGCACGTGAGTTCTCTAGCGATAGCCACCCAGTGAGTCCTGACCTCAGGGGCACTAGACGCCTGGCTCCCACAGGTCTCTCTTGTCGGCCCTGCGTGGCTCTTGGTATAAACGGCTCTGGTCAGGAGTCCCGACATGCAATTTGGGGCAAATCTGAACACAACATATCCTGAGCTAGGCCAGAGTTGTGGGGATGTAGACTCTATTTTATTTTATTTTTGTAATTAATTTATTTTAATTGGAGGCTAATTACAATATTGTGGTGGTTTTTGCCATATATTGACATGAATCAGCCACAGGTGTACATGTGTTCCCCCATCCTGAACCCCACTCCTACCTCCCTCCCCATGCCATCCCTTCTATTTCATTTTTAATTCTGGAATGGAAGTAGCTACACCTGTGTTTTGTCTCAGTTCACACCCTAATGGGATGCCCCTCAGAGTGCACTGACTTATACCTCTGGGACTCTGTATAATGACGCCAACCCGCCCTCCCATCTCTGAAGCAGTGAACTATGTATGGCAGGTCTGGGGGTCCCGTGGGATCGGTCTGCCCTGGGTACAGCTGTGAGCGGGTGTCTTGTCTGTAGAGATTTTAAGAACAGTATCAAGGCCAAATAAAAGTCAGTCTGCTTTATCATCACTCGCTGGCAATTCTAAACAGAGGCAATGATTAAGACAGTCCTTCCTGTCGGGGCAGGCTATCCCGACACCCCACCCTCACTTTGGTTTACCAGTGTTCACAAGCACTGTGAGATGGGCAGTGAAGGCGGAGGGCTGGAGGGGACCACTTTCTCTCCTTTATGACCGTCCCACTTGCCTCTCTTGTGGCCTCACTGTAAGACCTCCTTTGGCTCACATTTTGTAGAATCACTTTCTCAGGGTAGGCAAATGTTTTTTCTCTGAATGTGGACTTCTTTTGGGGAAAAGTTACAGCCTCACTGGGGGCTTTAATGGGTGAATGAGGAGGAAGATGGAGGTGGGATGTATCTTTCGGAGTCAGCAGTGAGAAGTAGCTTCAAAGGGAAGGAGGTTGGCACCACAGACAGTACGGAATCCAGTTCCAGAGCAAGGGGAGGGGTAAAGTCTGAGGGGGGCACAGCTTCCTGCAGGGAATACCCCTCTGAGCCCTGCACCTGTTTCCACATGGAGTCGTAGAATCAGAATGCAAGATGGAGAAACAGGCCCAGAGGAGAGAAGTCACACAGCCTGTTAGATGTGGGGACACTGGTCACACAGTCATTCCCTGCGTGTGTCATGAGCCACCTTGCTTGGGCCCCTCACCAGCCGAGCTCTCCTGAAGGTGGGGCTCTATGTCCCCTTCTCTGCCCACCACAATGTCACTGAGCGCAGGACAGGACATAAAGGCAGGGGCAAGAGGTGCAAAAAGGGGTGGGTGGCCGACACAAGGACGGGTTCTGCCCCCCCTTGGCATGCTCTGTGCTCCGTCCCAGTCCTACTACTTATACAAGGACCAGGGTGGGGCAGGTGGGGACACTCACCTTATCATCCAGAATGGGTTCACACTGTGAGTAGTTGATCCTCGAGGCCCATGTCCCATTCTCCAAGCACTCTCGGTAGGCATTCCCTACAAAAGATGGCCAGCACCAAGCAGGGGTGGCAGTCACTTCTCAAGAACTCTCCCTGGCTCCCTGGTACCAACAGGTTAAGGTCCCTACGTCTCAGGCTCTCTAGACCTGCAAACACAACACGTCTGAACGTTCACGTGAAAGTCATTAATGTGAAAAGTGCATAGAAGGCTTACCACCCGGGGTGACTAAAAGGCATGATTAAAACCCAATTCTGATACAATCTTTGACTAGCAATTTGTACATTTTCTTTAATTTTGTTCAAAACTGAACCCCAGGGACTTCCCTGGTGGTCCAATGACTAAGCCTCCATGCTCCCAATGCAATGGGCCCAGGTTTGATTCTGGTTGGGGAACTAGAGCCCACATGTTGAAACTAAGAATTTGCATACCACAACTAAAAATTCTGCATGGCACCACTAGAGATCCCACATGCTTCAATGAAGATTGAAGATCCTATGTTCTGCAACTAAGACCCGGTACAGTAAATAAACATTAAAAAAAAAGGTTGAACTCCATTGTGAGCCCTGGGATGTGGCTGAAGACACTACTTTTAGCACGATGAATAGTTTCCAAACTTATCACAATCATTTTATGCTGCTGAGATCCATACTTTTCCCACAGTATCAGCACTTTCATGTTCACCACAGTCACTATTTACACAGCAGGTGTCTGCCCTGTACCAGGTCCTCTTTTAACTGCTTTATTTACACTTGCCCATTCAATCCTCACAGCAACCCCATGGAGGACGTACTAAGATTAACCCATTTTACAGATGAGAAAAGTGAGGCACAAGGCAATCAAGCAGTTTGCCAAGGATACAGAGATAAGATTCAAACCCAGAAGGTCCAATTCAGGGCTTATGTTCCTAGCCCCTAAGCTACTGGGCAGTGGTACAGGAATGATGGCAATTTGGGGCAACAAGACTGTGCTGCTGACCTTGAGCTGCGGCTGCCTGGGAGGCCACCACGTGATCTCTACATGTTTGAGAACTTGCCTCTGTATTCAAGTTGGAGTGTGATGTGGAAAAAGACATTTCAGAACATCTGTCTGATATAGAGAAGTGAGGGCTTTATTGAAGGGGGATGTACGAAGTTCAAAGAATGCTCATATTTTCTTTAAATCCTAGCTTGACTGTCAAGATCTAGCTCCTAAGCCACCCTCTCCAGGTAGCCAACCTCTCCAGGTCACCTCCAGCCAGAAGGAACCTCTCATACCTGATAACTCCAAAGCCCTCTGCTGCCTCGGCTCGGCTGGGCATTTTGCTGTTTTCTGTACCTTACCTCCCCCGCTTACTCAGAAACTCTAAACCACCCATTGTTTAGGGGTAATTTGTTCCAGGGTTCTGCTCTCTGGCTAATGGGCAGTTGTTTGTGGATTTTTCTTTGGCGCTTACGCTTGAATCACAATACAAAGCTAATTAAAATAAATGGTTCACAGAGCACAGAGTCACAGAGCTGGAGGGGGGAACCTTAGATTGTTTTTGGAAGCAATGAATTCTGAAATAATTACGTTACTTTAAAATCCACTTCCGCTGAGCTAACAGTGAGTTAAAAGCAATGAAATTATGAAGGCACACTTGCTGAAGAGCAGAAACAATGGCGGAGATTCTATTAGCCTAATTGTTTTTTTAATTTGAGCTCATAGGTTTTTCAAATTTGGGGTTGTTACTGGCCTACTCCGGACTCCTGGGCCTGTCACCTGTCAGCGAGGTCCCTGGCCAGGGTATGAGTCAGTTAGGCCAGTGTTGGTCTGACACTGACTCTGACCCAGTGCAAGGACACCAGCTCCTTGCCCCTAACCATGGCACCCAACCCCAGTAGGGTCTCTCCTCTGACAGGTTTGTTATATACAGAAAAGTTGTAAGTTAAGAGAATGTGATGCATAGGAGCAGTGATGTCACTGAACTAAGGAAGAGTATAGGGTGAAGCCAAAAGGACCAATGTAAAGGCATTTTGGGAGGGTGGGTGCTTTTATTAAATGAACAGTCCCTCCCTGATAGCAGTTTAGAGTCCCTCTCAACAGGCCTGGGTGAGGTGAGACAGACTCTGATCCTGGCTGTAGTCCAAAAGGCAGAAAATTTTATCTTCTACAGACGTGTTCTTAGATGTTATCCAGGCTTCCAGAAGTTCAGTGCTAAGCTCCTTCCTCCAGGAAGGACTTTTTAATTGCTTCCATCTAAAGAGTCTCTTTCTCCTGAGTCTCCCAATACCTCCATGCTCCTCAATCCTGACAGCCTGAGCCCCACACTTAAGCTCTTGCATATGACCTGGACCTGAGTTGTTCAGGTGCATGAGTCTGGTGTCTCAGGTCAGTGTGGGGCCCCCTGAGGATGTTGTTGTTCAGTTGCCCAGTCGTGTCCAAATCTTTGCGACCCCATGGACTGCAGCATGCCAGGCCTCCCTGTCCCTCACCATCTCCTGAGGTTTGCCCTAGTTCATGTCCATTGCATCAGTGATACCATCCAGCCGTCTTATCCTCTGATGCCCTCCTCTTCTTCCCTCAATCTTTCCCAGCATCAGGGACTTTTCCAATGAGTCAGCTATTCACATCAGATGACCAGAATACTGGAGTTTCAGCTTCAGCATCAGTCTTTCCAACGAGTATTCAGGGTTGATTTCCCTTAAGATTGACTGGTTTGATTTCCTTGCTGTCCAAGGGACTCTCAGGAATCTTCTCCAGGACCACAGTTCGAGGCATCAGTTCTTACCCCTAAGCTGAGAACAGTCATCTCCCAAGTACGGTATCTTGTAGTGGCTAGAGAGGCTGTAGATCTGAGACCTTTCTGGTCCTTTATATCAATGCCCTTGGGGTACCAAGCTCTATGGAATTCTGTCTCCTCCTTTATTTTTTTTTCCCCCCGAAGTCCACCCCTCCCTTCTCCCCCTGACCCACCTCCTCTCTGGTCATCTTGCCTGGACTGGTACAGCAGCCTCCTTTCTTGCCTCCCTGCCTCATTGCTTGTTCCCCTCAACCCTCTGTCCTTTACCCCCATTTCATATTGATTTCTAAATAAAAGCCATCTGCTGCTGCTGCTGCGTGCATGCTCAGTCATCTCAACTCTTTGAGACCCCATGGACTGTAGCCCACCAGGCTCCTCAGACCATGACGATTCTCCAGGCAAGAATACTGGAGTGGGTTGCCATTTCCTTCTCCAGGGGATCTTCCCAACCCAGGGATCGAACCCATAACTCCTACATCTCCTGCATTGGCAAGTAGATTCTTTACCACTGAGCTACCTGGGAAGCCCAATAAAGGCCATCAACAGCTTTTTATCACTCTGGAGAATAAAGTCCAACCTTCCTGGTGTATTAATCAAGGCTCTTGACACTTGGGCCCCAGCAGAAATTTCCTGACCCATCACTACCTCTCCACGTGGCTGGTGATATTTGCACCAGCAGGCCTAGCACACACCACCCCTCGAGACTCTCACCCACTACTCACTGACAAAATCCTACCTCTCTTTTAACCCCCATCTCTAATGCCACCTCCTCCTGGAGGCTTCCCTAGTACCTAGGGTACTACGGTAATCTCTTCTTTTTCCCTCTAAACACCTCCTCTATGTCTTCCCATTTCTTGAAACATAGGTCTTCACACTTTATTGCCCTTGAACTAAAGCAGCACATCTGTTTCATATCATAGTTCAGAGCACACACACACATATCCCTCACATGACCGAATCCAGTTTCACAAAGCAAATTTTATCTTACCACGGCTATAATATTTTCTTTTTATTCTTTTAATGAATTATATGCATTTTATACCCAAATGCTAGTCATGACCCCCTAAATTTACTTCACAATCTGCTATGGTACAACACCATTTGAAAAAGAAAAATCTTTTAGAGCATTTACCATCATTCATTATGGGCTTCATCTCTTTAGAATTGATCCTTCTTTTCTTTGCTACTGAACTTAAGCTCCCTAGGGACAGACAAGTAGACAGAAACCATACTGGAATCAACAGATCCTGCTTCAGGAGTGAGCCATTGAGTACTTGTGGGCTGAATCAAATTAACTCAAATCTGGCAAAACCTGGGAAAGTAGGGTCTGAGAAGTGGGATGCAGTGGTGTGAGGGGGCTTGCCCTCTGGGGACCCAGCCATGCTGGGAATAAGGCTCTGGTTATACACACTGAGGACCAGGAGGCTGGAAGACAGATGTCCCCAGCACTTCGGGAGAGTTGGCTAATGAGGATGCTGAGACCTCAGGCACAGCCTCAGACAGAAGAAAGGAAGTCTGGAAGGGTCCCCCCTGGGGACCAGAGGAAGATGGGCATGGAGCGTCTGAGGACAGGTGGTCAGGCCAGAATTGTGGGGATGGAGGCGGCAAGGTGGGTGCCTGTTACCACAGCAACACAGGTGCCCCCCAAAGATCGATGCCAATGGTGTGCAGTGCAGTCTTCCAGGAGCATCAGGGTCTGTATGACGCAGGCAAGGTCTTCTTTTCCAGGGCTCTGTGGTCTGGGAAGCCCGGACTCTAACCCTGGCAGCATGACAGGACTCTGCCCCCAGAGTGGCCCTGGCCTGTTGAAAGCCCCCATTACAATATGCTCTCTCCCTTTCAGATGCTGACACTTTGATGAGAGTTTCTGGTTTGGGCAGTCACCTGAGTGGTCCGGGAGCCTGGCTGGGAGAAAATGGAAGCCTACATTCTAGCTATAGTTTTGTCTCTGGCTGATTAAGTGATGTTGGTCAAGTCCCATCCCTTTCGTCCTCAGCTTCCCCACTCATGAAAAGTAATGTAAACTGCTTCTCAGTGATGCATATTGGCATTTCAGGCGGGTCAAGTATTTGCTGCATGGGACTTTTCAATCTGCTAAACTCCAGGAGTACCCTCAAGCCATTGTAACAACCTCAGACATCCATACGTCACTTTTAAGCACTCCTGAGGTTGGCACTTCTATCTCTGATAGTCAAACCGGCAGTGTATGGGAGCTGGGGACCATGAGGGACCATTTTTCTAGTGGTAGCTATGAGACAGAGTGCAAGAGTCAGGCGGG